CCTATTCAGAAAATGAAGAACTTAAGGTATGTAGTGTCACTCAATTTATTAATTGCTGCAATGACATTGCTGTTGCTTGCCAGATTTTTGTGTCCCTCTATCATGAATGTCATCCTCACTCCCCAAACTCTGTTACCCCAGCAGATAGATCTTTAGGAAAGAAATTATTCCACATTTATCAAAAGTATAAGACCTTGAGGAATGACACATTTCAGGGGAGAGTAATGTTGAAAAAGGAAAATCTCCATCCTGAACACTTTAACCTTGGTGATGTAATTGTTCCTGAAAAGTATGCTTGTGGTTTTCATCCCTAAATTCATCCATTTACCTGTCACAAGTCACTGGCAACCAGGTCTACTGATCTAATATCAAGAGAGGACAGCAATTAAGACAAGAAATCATAGCACCCATCCCAGTTACCTGCCAATGTCACATGAAAGTTCAGATGTGACCTCCAAATTCTCAGCACACCCGACTTACACAGGACATTACTTTAGTAAATGATAATTATGATTTGTAACAATGTCTATACAATTTCAAGCCACCTAATACATAAATTTATTTTTTAAATGATAAAAATAAAACCTCAAAAGCAAAGTAACTGTTGTTTGTCATTAACCACTTCAAACAAATCTTTGCTTGAGATTTGTTCAAAGACAAGCTTAAATTTATTGCTTTCCAGTCAATTAGTTGTGCCGCTTTATAAATACTAATAGTTGTAATTAACATCCAGGCTTTAAACTCAAAATAACTTAAGTCAAATTCTATTTTATATACACATGAACTATCTTAAAAAAAAAAAAAAACTTGGTCTATTTACTTCTCTAAGAGTCAGTTCTGTTACCATAATGGGAATCATAGTAGCACCTACTTCAGAGGGTTCTTGGCAATGTTAAATGAGATGAGAGAGATAAAGAGTGTAATTGTGCCAAGAACATAGTAAACCCTCAATGTGCACTATTTTCATTTTTCAAGAATATGATTAATATTTGCCGAGAAATACATTCTTGGATATAGGATAAATGATTGAAACTGAGACTAATTCATGTAGTTTATATATATTTCATGTTCAGAAGTTGTATAATTTCTATAATAAATTCTTTATTGAGTTTGATGTCATTTTAATAAAATTTTGTTTCTTTTTTTTCAAAGGTATTTTATCCTGAAGTCTGTTATAGAAGAGTTCTTATGGCATTTATAGATAATGTTTGCTCAAAGACCAAATGTGGAATGTGGAATCACTGGGAGATAAATAAATCTTCATATTTGCTTCTTCCTATCTCTCATTTTCCCTTATTTATATAATTCAGGATAAATTAAAGAGACTCCTTTGTTTCATTCATAAAATATCTTTGCTAGGCCAGTATTTTGTAGCCAAATAATTCTTTATAAAATTAAAACCAAGACTTTGAATATAAAAGCTTTCAATGACAAATGCACAACTCTCAGTTTAAGTTAGAGACTGTTTTGTAAATTCTCTTATTAAGAAGGTCCAAGCAATTGCCATATGCTCACAGCAGCTGCACCATCCACAGGTGTTAAACAAAAGTTACCATTATATGTCTCACCACAAGTTACACTATGGAAACTACACCCTCACTCAAGAATGGTTTAGGTGACCCCTTCTGATTGCATGGTCCTCCTTTGATACCATGCTGAATGCTATTGTACAATGTTGTATTTCTTAACTGATTCAAAGCTAACCAACATTATAGATTCAATAACTTACCTCACAGACATAGACGTGTTCAGTTTGACTCTGGGCAGGCATGATGGATATCCCTGAGATCTGAAACATGCCGATGTTTCTCAGACACTGAATTGGTCATTGTCAAATAGAGCAGCTTGGGCCAGCTGAATTCATGCAGCCTATGTAAAGATCTGCCTATATAGCATGTGAATGTAGATTTTCCAATTGGAAAACTCCTTAGAAATTTCAAAAGATTGAGTGGTTCGAGTCATCCCTCCAGTCACTGCCTGGTTTTATCTGGTCAGCCAATCTTCTACAGACACAAGAGTGGTCACCAATAAATCTCAGAATGTAATTATTCACAGCATTTCATAAGCACTGGCTACTCCTTTCAGATCATCAGCGCTTTGAAGCTTTGTGAGAGTCCATCTTTAATTTAGATAAAAAAGATTTTATTCTGTAGATTCTGTAATACATTCAGAAGGATGGGTGCATTTACTTCTAGAGTCATTGTTCTTCCACTCCATGGTTTTAGAGGTGACATTTAAACAATAGTATTTTGAGCTTTAAAGTCAAGGGTAAGGAAGGAATTTCACTTTTAAGGTATAGCTCAGAGTATTGAGCAGTGGGCTCTGGTGTCAGAGCCAACAAAAACGAATCACTCAAACAAAATAAAAGAGCCAAAGTATGAACCCAAATCTAATCAAATAATATGTGGCTCAGGGAGAACTTTTCAATGAGAAAAAAAAAATCAATCCTCAACCAATATCCATAGCATACCAATGAATCAGAAAGGTTTTAAGCGATGTTGAGTGCTAAGGAAGAACTTTCACCTGGGACTGGGTGGTTCATACCTATAAACTTAGTCACTTGAGAGTCTGAAATCAGGAGGATAGCAGTTTGAGGCCAGCAAGGAAAACAGTTCATAAGACCCCATCTCGAAAAATAACCTGAACAAAATGGACTGGAGAATGCCTGCTTTGCATGTGACTGCTTGGCAAAGCCCTGAGTTGAAACTCTAGTGTCCCACCAAAAACAAACAAAAAAGCAACTCACTTCCTTCCCTTACCCTCCAATAGACTCTGAATTATATTGTCATAAAAACACTTTCTTTTTCTGAATTCTTATTACAATTAAATTTAGTAATTAAACCAGTTATTTATGCAATTATCTGCTTAATTTTTAGCACTTCTGTTGGATGTATCATTTCAAGAGGCAGGAACAAAGTGTATTTTTTTTACTGATACATAGAAGATGATTGAAGATATATTGATTAATATATATTTGGTGACTGAATCTCAAGACTGACATTTCTTAGCATCTAGAATATTAGATCTAGGGCAGACATTAAATCGCAGTTGACTCTACCTCTATTCTAATATGGGAATCCTCTCTCAAAGTACTTAATGGATGATGATCTTGCACTGTGAACACTTCTTCTAATGAAGAGTCAGTGAGTAATTGAGAAACAGAGTTCTGTCACTCACACTCATTAGAAATTACTTTTGTCTGTCTCCTGTACCTTCTATCCATGTGTCAGTTCCAATCTCAAAAAATTAAAATGGAATCCATTCCTTCTATACAAAAGTACCTAATATATGGCAAGGTAGCCATGCTGTGCTCTTATAAGGCTTCCTTTCCCCAGACAACTGGTTGCTACTTTTGGTCCTTTGGACAGGTTAGGAATAGTCAAAAACGATGTTTGCTCTGGGATACGTGTCATTGTGGAGAACATGTCATGTTCCCCAAATTTTGCAGCCAACTCATCAAGGTAATATTGTACTTATTTATTTTATTTTTGGCATTACTGAGTATTGAACTCAGGACCTTCTTCTTACCACTTGAGCCATGCTGCCACCCCCAGTCCTTTTGCTTTAGTTTGTTTTTCAGATAGAATTTCAGGCTTTTGTCTGGGCTGGCCTAGACTGTGATCCTTCTACCTCTGCCTCCCAAGTAGCTCAGATCACAGGTTTGCACTACCACATCTGGTCCATACTTAATTTTTAAATGCCCATAGCTACATAATTCTGAAGGCTTCAAGTTTCCATTTTTCCTTCCTCAAGGTTCAAGAAGTACCCAATTACTTTTCTTTTCAATACTGGAGATCGGACTAGGGCATCAGTTCACTGGGGACATAGTACTTTTGCAGAAGATATTTTCTGGTCTGGAGAACAGTTTACAATGCTTTTAGGTCATTTGTCCTCCTGGCTTCTGGTCCTCCTCAAAAACTCATCTACCACTTCACTTGGCACATACATCCGTGTGTACTCTTAGTGGTTTATATCTCTTTCCTTGACAATCTCCGTCTCTAGACCATGAGCTCCTTGGTGGAAGAGACCACAGGGACCATGGTATAATTTTCCACCTCGAGACACTGTATAGTATTATAGTGCAGAGAGCCAGAAATTTTAAATTTGACATTTGTATGACTGAGTGGGTCACTTCAGGCATTTTCATGGCTAAGTTATGTGTAAAACAGACATAAGAGCAGTGACAACTTCAAGTAACTAGCTTTCAATTCTACCTTTTATTGTTTAACTAGGTAGAAACATTTTCATGAGTTTCACTAATTTAAAAAAAAAGTAAATTTTGTGTAAATTCAAAATGTAGCTGAGTATATAAAAGTCATGGTCAAACATATGCAGATAATTTTTGGAAAAAATAGGCAATGCTTCCCATTGTCAGTCTCTCTCCAGTATCTTCACCTGTCATGCCTTCTCTGATTGTCATGTTCAAAATCTCTTCAGCTCCTCTTCTGCCTGTCAGACGACTGTCTTCTCCAGAAATCCATCTCTGGCATCCCAGCTCAGGCTCGGTTAGGCACCTGATCACCTTTTAATGCAATTGTCTGCTTCGATGACTGATACCACACAACTGTGACTTGAGCAGGGAGTACGTTTGATTTCCTCTGCGCTCAGTACTCAGGAACGACAGACATCTTCTGGCAACATCCCTCCATAGCCAAGAGCCTCCACCTGGACGCTTGTCCTCTGCATTAGCCATCCTTGCCTCTCCGTATTCCTGGTCTCCCCTAGACATTTTAGAAAGAAGATGCTTAGCTCTCTCACCAATTGTGCCCCCTTGCTCCCTCTGTGAAAACGCCTAGGACCAGGTGGTGCCTTAACCCCGCCCACCTCAGAGCCTGGTCACGCCCCTTTCTCTACCCCGCCTCCCTCACCTTGCCTCTGGCCCGCCTTCCTAGCTCGGGGACACAAGGACGCATGCTCAGTCTTAGCCTCTTCGTAGCGTGATGTCGTAGTTACGTTAGCGTGCTGACGTAGGCCGGTAGAAACGCCTGTTGCACCCCGGCGTCCGGATGCAGTTTTACAATTAGTTCTCCGCAGTCGGTTGCTCTGGCTACTCAGCAGCGTGGTTTTTTTCGTGGAGGTAGCTGAGTGTGCCGGCTCCATTCCGCCTTGTTGGGAAGAGGAACGCAGAGGAGAGGTTCTGTGGACACCGAGCTGAGGCTCCCTAAAGGCAACAGAGCCACCCGAGGGCCCTAGAGCGTGCGAAGGCAGGGCTGCGGCCCAAAGCAAGGGCAGCTGAAAGGGAGGGTCTGCAGATCGTGTAGGAGTTCGCTGGGGCCTGGGCTGGGCCGGCAGAGGCCCGGGGCTGTCGCGCAATGCTCGGGGCCCGGTGCCTGCTGCAAGCCCTGCGCTCCTGCTCCTCGGCTCCGTGCGCGAGGCCAAGAGCTCCCGCCGCACTGAGCGTGCGGGACGCCCTCAGGGCCCGGGGCGCTAGTGGGGAGCGCGTGAAGGTTCAGGTGAGTGTGTGGAAAGGGGATGGGTTTTCCCCCGCCATTTCTTTAGGAAATTATGTGGCACAGCTACATCTAGCTTTACTTTGTGCTGTCGGGTCAGACGGGACGACCATCTGGGAAAAGTTAGACCAGGTAGACACAGCAGGAGTCCGCGCTTCTCTTTTTCCTAAGGTGCTGTGACTTTTTGCAAAACTGTTCTGATGTCTACGAAATGCAGAAACAGATTTTCATGATACCAGAGCATTGCGTGTAATCTTGTGAGTCATACAGAAAAGTGTAAGCAGACAAGCCCCCTTCCTCCACCTTGATCTCAGAGTGAATGTCCACGGTTGTGTAATGGTTGTCCTGCCCTCACTTCGTGAAGGCAGAAACTGTGTGTTTTTGTCACATGTATTCATATGTCAGGAAGTACTCCTTCCATTAAACCTTGTCTGTTAAGCTTTTAGTGCCTCAGTGCCTAAGGTGGGGCTTGCATGTAATTTACGTTTTAGTAAGTTAGGGGAACGTGGGATGTAGTCGTTGAAGGAGCGTAGGTGTGGAGCTGCCTAGCTTTAAATCTCTCCCACCAAGAAACTTACTAATTGTGGGCGTTTGACTTAAGTGTTCTAAACTTTAGTGTACTTTTATGAAAGTGGAGATAATACCAGTCCCGACTTTATAGTCCTGAAATTTACATGGTACCATGGGTATAAGATATTTAGATCAGTGGCCCACAGTCAATAAATGTTAGCTACTACTATTTCTCCTGCTATTAATATTTGCAGCCATTCCACATAGAAGATTCCCTCTAACAGGAGCATGTTAAAGAAGGGGGCGGGGTGACCTCCTTAGATTGAAAGACACTGATGCAGTTACCTTGCTGTTATAGATCCTTGCTGTTTCGCATAATGACCAATTGGATCCTCTTTGCATTTATTTGAGTTTCCATATTCTTTCCATGATCCAAATCAGAAGCTTTCTTGCACTCATCTATTAGCTCAGCATTCATAAATGATCGTTTTTGTGTGCTAATCAAGAGAGGATTGGAAGATGAGCAGAACCTGCCTCCCAAGTTAGAGGTTCAATTTAGTGCTTTACAGTCTAATATAGCAACCAGTCACTTGTGCCTCTGAGCTTTTAAAACGTCTGAGTTGAGATGTACTGTAAGTGTAAAATACATGGTAATTTTCAAGAGTAAACAATGCAAAAATCCCTCTCCTGACACACACATTTTTTTTTGTTTGTGTATGTTACTGGGGATTGAACTTGAGCTTGTGTCAGGACTCTACCATTTGAACCACACCAGTCCTTTTGCTTTTTAGTTTGTTTTTCAGGTAGGGCCTTTGCATTAACTTTGACTCGTGCCAGCCCCAGACCACTATCTTCCTATTTGCACCTCCGAAGTACCTGAGATTACAAGTGGGTACCACCATGCCCAGCCTCAACATATTTTTATGCTGCTTGCATGTTGATATATTTAGGGCATAATTGGTTAAGTAAAATATTAATTTCTCCTATTTCTCTTTACTTTTAATGTGGTCACTAAAAACTATAAAATTATGTGTGTAGCTCACATTTTACTTATTTTGGACAGACATACTCTACAGTAATATTATTATTACTAGTGTCAAATATTAAATAACTGAGAAAGCAGAGAATTCCTTAATGCTTGAAGTTTGGGAAGGTTTCTTACTCAGGTGACTTTTCAGCTGAGCCCTGAAGGTTGTATTCATCAGGTAGTGACTAGGATGGAGTGGAAATGGCACCAGGATGTGACCCCCAAGCAGAGGGAAATTGCTTGTTGGTGAGAACATGAATTTTGAAGTCGTAACTGTGTCTAAATCCCAACTATACTACTTGGTAACTGTAACCTGGGCCATTTTCTGGAACTTTTCTGAATGTATTTCATTTAAAAAATGATAACCATTTCATTTTGTTCTTGTGAGGATTAAATAGCATAATATTTATAAAGAACTTAGAACAGAAGCACATTAAAAAATGTTCAGTGAATGTTAACTTGCACTAGCAAGTAAAAATAAGAGTAGTGCTTTGGAAATTACTGTTGAATGATCATAACCAAAAAGTAAATGCCTTATGAAGCACCTTGTACATGGGACTGAGGCAGTTTATACTTCATGCTGTGTAACTGGCAGAAGATCAAGGGCTTTCCAGTCAGAGAGACTTGGGTTCAAATTTGGAATCTACCATTCAACCAGCAGTGTGACTTTCAGCAAGTGTTTTTTTTTAAACTTTGCCAAGTCTTGGTTTCCTCACCTGTGATATGGTTATACTAGTCCTTAGAGCTGTTGGGAGAAGGAAATGAGAACGTATATGAAGGTAGTAGAGTGTTTTTTACATAGTACATGTACTATGTAAGCTGTAACTGAAAAACATTTGTGAATTATCATCTATGTCCCTGCCAATACATTTCAATAACTATTGTACACGTTTCCTTCCCTTAAAGCATTATGGAAATGCAAGTAAGTGTTAGAGAAACTTTTAACAACAGCATCTGCAGATTATTGCAGGACCCAAAGGTCATAATCAATAGATATTTTTGTGTTTCTTTGTTTTGTTTCAAGACAGTGTCTTGGTATATAACCCAGGATGGCCTTGAACTGACCATCTTGTCTCCTCCTCCCAAGTGCTAGGATTATAAGCATGTACTGGCATGCACAGTGCATCAGTAGGTTTTTGTATGTAGGGTCATCTCTTGCTTTCCCCAAGCATGTTTAATGGTAAGTGTCTATCTCTATTCATTGACTATACATTTATTAGATACTTCACAATTTTTTGGTGTCCACTAGAGTGTTAGTCTCTCTTAATGCCTATGCTAGTTAATTTAAGTTGGGCATATCTGAGAGTTGTTTTTAGCATTACTGGTCTACTTGAAGACATCTCATTTGTACTGGCATGTACCTATCACTTAAATTAAGATTTTGAAACTTTGTGTATCACTTAGTATGTGTTCATAATGAGACTTTTTTTAAATTGTCCTGCTGGGTGGGAGTACAGTGTAGCATTTACAAAGTTCTTACAGTTTATCAAATGCATGATACTTGACTTCACCCCTACACCATTCTCCTTCCTCCCTCCTTCCCCATAATGAGACGTTTTTGAGAGGGTTTTTTTTTTTTTGGTATGATATTTGGTAAAAGGAAAAAAATCTGTAAAGATATGTCTAGTTTATACTATGTAATCTCCGTTCTGAGAATTTCATATAAAGCGAAAGGCACCAAGTTGTAAACCCTGTTCTTTGTAATTGGAAGGGGAGTGGGGACAAAAATACCTGGGAAAGGCCAGTATTGAGGGCATTGGTTATGTGAATTAGGCTCATGAACTTGATGGACCATTGCCACCCATTCAAAATAATGTGCTTTATTATGAAAACAACAAAAGGTAGAATGTCAAAGTGTGTGTCTCACTGTGCTAAGGAACTTAAGTTTGTGTACACATAGATAAACTAAAAGCAGTTCATTTTATGCAGTTGATATATTGAGGTAAGATTGTGAGTACAGTTTTTTCTTTTATTTAGTCTTCTTTGCATGTGTAATGAAATGTAAAATGATTGTAAATTCACATTTGGAAATGTTTCTGTTCCTTAGGGATGGATTCGTTCAGCCCGATCCCAGAAGGAAGTCTTGTTTCTACATGTAAATGATGGGTCATCTTTGGAGAGCCTTCAGGTTGTTGCTGATTCAAGCTTTGACAGTAGGCAAGTTGCTTTTTAGAGTTTTTTGTTTTTTTCCATCTCCAGAGTTTCCCACTTCAGTAAGCCAGTGTTTACATTGCTCCCTGAGTGATCTTTCTAAACAAATCTATGGACTGTAGCTTAAGATATAAGATAAGCAAATAAATACTTGGAATCAGGGTCCTTCCAGCTCAGGCTTTCCTTGTCTAACATCTTCACATGCTATAACCCTTACCTGTGCTTTCTTTCAGTCTTTCTTAACTACCTACCCTCCTCTAAGCTCTTCTGCTTTCCTGACTTCTAGCTCTTATAGATGTTGCTGCCTTAACCGGATCAGCCTCTTCTTCATGTGTCTTTCGTAGTTCCAGATAAGGGATCATCTCATGTTCCTAGTTCTTGACACTGGCAGGTGCCCACCTCTGTCATAGAATGTATGACATTAGTAGGTGATCAGCTGTATTCCTTTTGGATTCCTTTTGACTAAGGACTCCTACTTCTCTGAGGTTAAGGATGATAGTACTTTATTCATTTTTGTATTGTTGGCCCATGGCATAGTGCTGACAAAGTAACAATTACTGTTTGTTGAATACATTGGAAGAAACTTTTATGGCCTCATTCAGAAGATGTTAAAACTGACACCATCTTTGTGGTAGGGCATAACCTCTGGGAAGCAAAAGATTATTTTGACTTGAATAAGAGTGCTTTGTTATTCCAAAGATTGTTAGGATTAATGTTCTCTATCATTATTTAGGTTCATGAGACTATTAGGTCAACAGGGCAGAACAAAAAGACTGCCTTAATGTAATAAGCAATCTTTCAAAAAAGGTTGTTTTTCTGATGATATCAATCAGTACAGTAATCATCTGGGTATTTCTAATGGTACTTAAGTTTTGGAGGTTCTGGAGGATGACTGCCCATCTCTTTTAGGTATTCTCAAAGCCCCCAAGGAATATTCCTATATGTTAGGTAGTGCATATTTTAAGTTAGAACCTCTCAAAATACCTTCTCATACTTGGTGAAAATGTAGTAGGGTTTTTGTTTGGTTTGTTTGTTTGTTTTGCCCCCAGTAACGCAATAGTGGTTAGTCTTTTTTTTTTATTGTTTTATTATTCATATGTGCATACAAGGCTTGGGTCATTTCTCCCCACTGCCCCCACCCCCTCCCTTACCACCCACTCTTCCCCCTCCCTCTCCCCCCCCCCCTCAATAACCGGCAGAAACTATTTTGCCCTTATCTCTAATTTTGTTGAAGAGAGAGTATAAGCAATAATAGGAAGGAACAAGGGTTTTTGCTGGTTGAGATAAGGATAGCTATACAGGAAGTTGACTCATATTAATTTCCTGTGCATGTGTGTTACCTTCTAGGTTAATTCTTTTTGATCTAACCTTTTCTCTAGTTCCTGGTCCCCTTTCCTGTGGCCTCAGTTGCTTTTAAGGTATCTGCTTTAGTTTCTCTGCGTTAAGGGCAACAAATGCTAGCTAATTTTTTAGGTGTCTTACCTATCCTCACCCCTCCCTTGTGTGCTCTCGCTTTTATCATGTGCTCAAAGTCCAATCCCCTTGTTGTGTTTGCCCTTGATCTAATATCCACATATGAGGGAGAACATACGATTTTTGCTTTGTTGGGCCAGGCTAACCTCACTCAGAATGATGTTCTCCAATTCCATCCATTTACCACCGAATGATAACATTTCATTCTTCTTCATGGCTGCATAAAATTCCATTGTTTATAGATACCACATTTTCTTAATCCATTCGTCAGTGTCAGTGGGGCATCTTGGCTGTTTCCAAACTTAGCTATTGTGAATAGTGCCGCAGTAAACATGGTGTGCAGGTGCCTCTGAGTAACCTGTGTCACAGTCTTTTGGGTATATCCCCAAGAGTGGTATTGCTGAATCAAATGGTAGATCAATGTTTAGCTTTTAAGTAGCCTCAAATTTTTTTCCAGAGTGGTTGTACTAGTTTACATTCCCACCAACAGTGTAAGAGGGTTCCTTTTTCCCCACATCCTCCCAACACCTGTTGGTGGTGGTGTGCTAATGATGGCTTTTCTAACAGGGGTGAGATGAATCTTAGTGTGGTTTTAATTTGCATTTCCTTATTGCTAGAGATGGTGAGCATTTTTTCATGTGTTTTTTGGCCATTTGAATTTCTTCTTTTGAGAAAGTTCTGTTTAGTTCACTTGCCATTTCTTTATTGGTTCATTAGTTTTGGGAGAATTTAGTTTTTAAGTTCCCTATATATTCTGGTTATCAGTCCTTTGTCTGATGTTAGCTGGCAAATTATTTTCTCCCACTCTGTGGGTTCTCTTCAGTTTAGAGACCATTTCTTTTGATGAACAGAAGCTTTTTAGTTTTATGAGTCCCATTTATCTATGCTATCTCTTAGTTGCTGTGCTGCTGGGGTTTCATTGAGAAAGTTCTTACCTATACCTACTAACTCCAGAGTATTTCCTACTCTTTCCTGTATCAACTTTAGAGTTTGGGGTCTGATATTAAGATCCTTGATCCATTTTGAGTTAATCTTGGTATAGGGTGATATACATGGATCTAGTTTCAGTTTTTTGCAGACTGCTAACCAGTTTTCCCAGCAGTTTTTGTTGAAGAGGCTGCTATTTCTCCATCGTATTTTTTTAGCTCCTTTGTCAAAGACAAGTTGGTTATAGTTTTGTGGCTTCATATCTAGGTCCTCTGTTCTGTTCCACTGGTCTTCATGTCTGTTTTTGTGCCAGTACCATGCAGTTTTTATCATTATTGCTTTGTAATATAATAGTAATATAGTTTAAAGTCAGGTATCGTGATACCTTCAGCATTGTTCTTTTGACTGAGTATTGCCTTGGCTATTTGTGGCCTCTTGTGTTTCCATATAAATTTCACAGTAGATTTTTCAATCTCTTTAATGAATGTCATTGGAATTTTGATGGGAATTGCATTAAACATGTAGATTACTTTTGGAGTATCGACATTTTTACTATGTTGATTCTACCAATCCATGAGCATGGGAGATCTCTCCACTTTCTATAGTCTTCCTCAATCTCTTTCTTCAGAAGTTTATAGTTTTCCTTGTAGAGGTCTTTCACATCTTTTGTTTGGTTTACACTTAAGTATTTGATGCAATAGTGGTTAGTCTTATTTGTATAAGTTTCTTATTTATATAAGAATTAAATTTTAAAAGGAATATTGTATACTAACACAAATTAGGTGTGGAATTTCCTGACATTATTTACTTTAATGCAGTATTACTGTGTTGAATATTTCTGTACAGTTTCATTAAAGAAGACACTTGATATTTTATTATAATTATGAAATGTTTAGAACTGGAATGGCAATTCAGTCATTATTCCAACTTCTTAATAGATGATTCTTAAAAAAAATGAATACATGTCACTTTCTGTAGTAATCATACAGTTAATTTGTGGTAAACTTGAACTAGAAAATTACATTTTTTTTTAAACAAGAAAGTAGTGTAATATATGCTAAACCATCTAGCTAGAAATAAATAATAAAAACATAAAAATATGATATAAGCCAGTGCATTGGTACACATCTATAATCCCAGCACTTGGAAGAATCAAAAAGTTCAAGGCCAGCTTGGGCGACGTATGAGGAGACCCTGTCTCAAAAAAAAAGAAAAAAGATATCCACATATACAGGAAAGAATTCCCATGTGGTTCTACCTAGCTTCCCCAATGATAGCCTCTTACGCTTACCATAGTATGTTATCAAAGACAAAAATTTTTGGTCAATTTACTTTTTAATAAGAATAACTTATATAACCGCTTAATTCCAAATTCTTAACTCTCTGTTTCATTTTGGGTTACTGTGTAGAGAACTGGCTTTCGGAAGTTCTGTGGAAGCCAGGAGACAGCTGCGTTAAAAAGCCCATCCAGAGGGCAAAATGTGGAATTGAAGCAGGCAAAAAATATGAAGTTATTGGAAATGTGATGCCAAGGTATGCTCAGTAACACTTTTGTGAAGGCTGTTTTTGGTTTTAATTGGAGGATATTTTGCAATCTGTTTTAAGATGTGATATATGGCAGTCTGTTTTTTTTTCATTTTGTCTTTTCTTGTTGGTACTGGGATCGAACCCAGGGCTTTCGCCGGCTATGCTAGGCAAGCAGTGGTGTTACCACTGAGCTACATCCCAGCCTAAGGTGGTGATTATGCGGAATACGGCACATAGAACATATTTCACTTGTGCACTTTCCCTAGTAATTGGTATTATTGGAGTTTAAAAACTCAGGGTGTTGAGCTTTGCTAGGCAGGCCGCTCTACCACTTGAGCCAGCCTCCAACCCAGCTTCCCTGATTAATTGAAACAGCCTTAGAGCCCTTTAGAGATAGTAACAAATTATTGCTGTTTAAAGTTAAAGATCTTAGTCCTTCTTGCAGTAAGAGCTAAGTATTGATCTGTGCATCTCTATGTTGTCTGTCAACAAGTTAAGACTAACTGCTTTTGCAAGCATGCCCACGTCAGCCACCAATGACAGACTCGATACCAGGAAATACCATTTCAGCTTTTACATTCTTAGGAAAGCTAAAAGGTGATTTTTCATGGTCTAAGAAACTGATTCCAACTAAGAGTAGTAGTCCACTAGTCACCTATGGCTGATTTGATTTTAATTCAACTAAAATTAAATAAGAGCGGCTGGAGGCATGGCTAAGTGGCATAGAGTGCCTGCGGCTAGCAAGTGTGAGGCACTTGAGTTCAAAGCCCCCAGTTACCCTTCCTCAGAAAAAATCCCAGTTCTTTGATGGTATTTGGTGCCCAAATGTTTGCTATGGCACCATATTGGAATAGTGCAGATACAGAGATTTCTCCACTGATCCAGAGGAAGTTACTAGTAGATGGTTCTGATCTAAACTGCTTGTAATATTTGGGTTTGAACAAGGCCCCAAAAGATTCTATATTAAGAGATTTATTATATCTGTTTTTTTACAAGATGTCTATTAATAGCTTTATATGTATAAGCCTGATAAAGAGTTTATAGGAATAAAATAAAAAGTATTATCAAATCTAATTCATTAAATCATTAGCAATGAAGAAAATTGAGGCCCAGCCAAGCAAAATGAATTGCCTACAGTTCAACAAGTAGTGGAACACATTGTGAATATACATTCTAGCCATTTGACTTCTCTGTCTTGCTTGTTATTTTCAAATGTTTCATGAGGAAAAAATACAAGGAAAATTATTAACATCTTAATTCATTTGTAGTTTTTTGAGCAATGGAAAAAATTAAATGTAAAGGAAATCAAAGTGCGAATAATTTTCTTTTTAAAATGTCATTCTGAGTAAATTTTCCAAAAATTCCTAATTGACATGCTAAGATTAGGAATGAGGGTTCTAAAGTTTCTGAAAAAATAGAGTGAAATAATTTGGAAGTCAAAGGAATGGAGAAGCTAACCAATTTTGCGTTAAGCAAGTATGAGGGCCTCGGGTTTGAACTCAGGCCTCAATACTTGCTAGGCAGACACTCTAACACTTGAACAGCCACTCTGCCAGCCTGGGTTTGGGCTTTTTTAACAGAAAGGACCTACAAATATTAAAAATTGCCATATGTTTTTCCTATTTTAAATTGTTCTCCCTTGGCTTCTGTTTAGTTTGTTACTTTCACACTTCAGTTCAGTGTT